TTGCATAGTTATTGAATCAAAGTTTTTTGATCAATCAGAAAAATTATGTCATAATTTGACTGATTAAACCTGTTTGAATCTATGTGACTCAATAATAGTTCCTTTGTAAATAATTTTTATTTTAAAGAGTTTAAGACCTAGCACAAGATGCAAAAATATTATAGTTAAGAGTTCTATGTATCCTTCACCCAGCTTCCCCCATAATGAAATTTTAATAATCATCTTATCAAAGCTAGGAAATTCACATTGGTGCAATATCACTAACTCAGGTACAGAATGAAAGCTCTTTTTTTAATAGATCCTTGTTTTCCATGTAGCTTTTCACTTCATTACCAGCTTTAACCCTGGGAATCTTCGAACAATGTTGCAGTCAGAGGAGCCTGCTCAAGTACCCGCAGCTCTACACCATATCTCAGACAGGGGAGATCTTCAACACAAAGGTAAACAGAAAGTTTATTGCAGGTCTTTCATCTAACTTGATCCAAAGGTACCTTTGGTCTCTTCCCATCCCAATGCTTTAGGAAAAATAATTTTTAAAACACAAGGCATGCAGCCTTGTGCTATCTTCATGTTACTGTGTAGTGTAGCCAGGGGATCAAGGTTCAAATAAGAGAAATAACAGTATTGGGAAATGAAAAAAAAACACAAAAGTCTTGTGAAAAAGAAGCAAGGTGCCATGTGTGGTCTCACAGATTGGGCACTCAGCAGCGTCAGGAGGCATGGTGTGGAATGGGTAGTCCTAGGAAGGACGAGAGAGGGACCGAGGTAACTTTCAGATGAGACATTGCTTCTTGGGATTCTCTTGGAATGACTCCTTCCTGATACCATAGGCGTTGAGATTCGGTGCGGGAGTTAGGAGAATTTTACAGGCTGTGAGAGCAATGACATGCACTCTGTCAAATTTGAATAAACCTGACTGTACATCTCAATCATTTGTGAGACTTTTAAAAATTATAGACACCTGGAAGAAACATAAAAAACCTTTTAAATGTATTGGGAATTATTTTATGGTTGCAAAGTATCATCTATCTTCTGACTGTTTCGTCTTCAGTGGAAAAAATGTATTAGGTCAAATTTGAAGAGAGTTTTGTTCAAAATGTCCGCATTTCTTACTGATTTTCTGTCCAGTTGTTCTGTCAGTTATTGAGAGGTGCTGAAATCTCCAACCGTAATTGTGGATTTTGCTATTTCCCCTTGAAGTTCTACCAGTTTTGCTTCATGTATTTTTGAAGCTCTGTTATTAGGTGTATAAATATTTCGGGTTCTTATATTCTCTTGATTTATCTCTTTATCATTGTGAAATGATTTTTGTTATTCCTGGTAGTATTATTTGCTCTTAAAATTTATTTTGATAATAATATAATCACTCCAGCTTTTTCTTAGTGTCTGAATGGCGTTTCTTTTCTCATTGTTTTACTTTTAACCTATTTGCGTCATCATATTTGGAAGTGTTTCTTGTAGGCAGCTTGTAGTCTTTGTTATCTGATCTGACAGCATGTGCCTTTTAATTAGATATTTAAGGCATTTACGTTGAATGAGCTTATTGATACGGTAAGGTTTAAACTTACCATCTTGCCAT